CACTTAAGTCAACTGACTTTTTAAAATGGATTTGAAGAGCCATACACATCCATTTGCATTCTAAGCAGGCATTAGGACTGGTTTAAACAAGAGACTTGATTTGTGCCATGAGCAGATTAGGATAGAAAAGCACTCGGTACCTTATCGGAGGCATTCTTAACTTATGTTTCGACACCTTATGTTTTACATCCTTGTGTAACAATCTAAGTCACAAGGAATAACTTATTCACTGCTCCCAAAATCAATTCTCAAAGGGGCTGCTGGTGGCATAAGGTCAAGTATCACTGTTTCTGCGCATGCATGCACACACACACACACACACACACCCTGGGCTATGTGCCACTTACTGCTGGATGACTGAAGGGGAAACTGGGAAAACAAGAGGCCTAGGGAAAACTGATTATCAGTTGGGCACATGGAAATAGCGTTAATATTCCCATGGGGTTAAAATGTCATCCAAATCCCAGAAGTGTCCCAGAATTCAGAAAGCTATCATAAAATCCCAGTAGCATAAATTTCTGTTTGGTTCATGCTAAATTAAGGATAGTTTAATTTAAAGACATTTCTCTTCAGATATGTAAATTGAGAACATCATTTTGTGTGCGTAACTTTAACAGCAGAAATGGCTTCTTGCACATGCACATAAAATACTATGGTAAGCAAAGGAATGCTGGGAGTCATCATTCTGAAAAGGTCTATCTTGTAGGAAGATACCATACTGTGTTTCTCCAAAAAGAAGTCATAGAGTTTCAGTAAAGAAACATTGTTCCATACACAGTCCTAAAGAATGGCTGTCAAAGAAAACTCTGGGAAAACCAGGCTAAATTCACTTTTTACATTTTGCTTTAAAAGCTCCATAATTTGGTTCCCCGCCCTTTGGTATACTGAAAAATAACTACACGATTATTAAAGCCGAATAAAAGCTGCAACTCTTATTTCCCACACCAAACCTCAATATCCTATTGAAGCCATGGTGACTGATTTTGATTCCATGACCTACCTCAGTGGCAAACCTACAGCACGCATGCCACAGTGGGCACACAGAGCCCTCTCTGTCAGCATGTGAGCCAAGTCACCCCAGCATCACCCCTCCAGCCGATCATCAGATAACACCAAGCTCATGCTCGGAAAGGAGTAGAGGCACCAGGCCATGTCGTCACAAGCCACGACTCATTAACTGTGACTCATCCGAGCTTTCACACAGCTTGTCAGTGTGCTGCCAAGGATAAATATATATTTGCTTAAACCAGCTGTGAGTTGTTTTTTCTAACCTAAAACCTCAGTTTTCAGGTTTTATTGCAGTGTTGGCACTTTGCGATAGATAAGTGGGTTTTGGATTGAAGTTTGGGCACTCGGTCTCTAATAGGTTCACCATCACTGGGTTAGAGTTAGAAAAATGAGGTGTCCTGGCATGATTTTGATGGTTGGAATTTATTTATTTTATTTATTGCATTTATATACCACCCCAAAAGCCCAGAGGGCTCTCTGGGTGGTTTACAAACATTAAAACCCCACCAATCCTAAATAAATAAATTTGTGTTTAGAATGGGCAGAATTGATGAGCTGTGCAGAAAAAGCTGCTAAAGAAAGGGTTTTTCAAAATCGCCTTCTTTTCAGTGGAACTTTTGCGCTATATTAGGCTTTGGGGTACGTACTAGGGTAGGGTTAGAGCAGTGGCTGTGAACTTATGGCACACGTGCCACAGTGGGCATGCAGCGCCCTCTCTCTCAGCATGCGAGCCAAGTCACCCCAGCCCCAGCCCCATGGGGAAATGACTAGGGTTATTGACACGATCGCTCCTAAGCATCCTCTCCCACCTGGCAGAGCCCATTCATCCCCCTGGTATACACCTGAACTATGGGCAATGAAGCGGGTTGGGAGACGTCTAGAGCGTAGGTGGAGGAAATCACAGGATGAATCTGACCGTTCTTAATAGCCCATTATTGGGCCTATGCTGTGGCGGTGAGGGCAGCAAAAAAGAAATTCTTCTCTGCTTCCATTGCCTCCTCACAATGCCATCCAGCGGAGCTCTTTCAGGTGGTACAGGGGCTGGTTCACCCAGGCCCCAAAAAAGATCTCATGCCACCCTCGACAGCCCGCTGTGATGACTTTGCCAAGCATTTCAAGGAGAAAATCGCTCAGATTCGTCACTCCACTAGTGACTCAGAACCTTCTGGGGAGGTGCCAATGTTGCCGTCTGGTCCAAAATTGATGGACGAGTTTCAGTTGTTGCGGCCTGATGATGTGGACAAGGTGCTTGGACAAGTACATCCCACCACCTGCTTACTGGACCCTTGTCCTTCTTGGCTGCTTAACAAAGCCAAGCATGGGATAGGGGCCTGGATCCTGGAGGTTGTCAACGCCTCTCTAAGGGCCAGCCAGGTACCTGCCCCTTTAAAGGAGGTGGTAGTCTGGCCAGCCCTAAAGAAGGCATCCCTGGATCCAGAGATGGCTGCCAATTATAGAACGGTGACCAACATCCCGTTCTTGGGCAAGGTGTTAGAGCAGGTGGTGGCGGGACAACTCCAAGCACTCTTGGATGAAACTGATTATCTGGACCCATTTCAGTCCGGCTTCCTACCCGGGTACGGTACTGAATCTGCCTTGGTCGCCCTGTATGAAGACCTGTGCAGGGAGAGACAGGGGGAGGGCATCCCTGTTGGTTCTCCTGGACCATGGTATCCTTCTGGATAGGCTGGCTGGGTTAGGACTAGAAGGCTCTGCTTGGCAGTGGTTCCGCTCCTATTTGGCTGGCCGAACCCAGAAGGTGATGCTGAGGGATTATGGCTCTGTGCCATAGAGTACCACAGGGTTCCATTTTGTCCTCCTTGCTATTTAGCATCTACATGAAATAGCTGGGAGAGGTCATCAGGAGGTTTGAGCTGAGGAGTCACCAGTACGCTGATGATTCCCAGCTCTACCTCTCTTTTACAACTAATCCAGTTGAGGCAGTGGCTGTCCTGAACCACTGCCTGGACAAGGTAATAAAGGGTCAATAAAATGAAATGCTTCTTCTGGACCTCTCAGCGGCTTTCGATACCATCGACCATGGTATCCTTCTGGATAGGCTAGCAGGATTGCGAGTTGGAGGCACTGCTTTGCGGTGCTTCCGCTCCTATCTCAAAGGCCAATTCCAGAAGGTGGTGCTGGGGGACTATGGCTCTGCGCCATGGCAGTTATGCCATGGAGTTTCGCAGGGGTCCATTTTGTCCCCCTTGCTATTCAACATCTCCGTGAAACCGCTGAGAGAGGTCATTAGGTGGTGTGGGCTGTGGAATCATCAGTACACTGATGATACCCAGCTCTACCTCTCATTTTCAACCAATCCAGGTGAGGCAGTGGCTGTACTGAACCAGTGCCTGGCTGAGGTAATGGGCTGGATGAGGGCCAATAAACTGAAGCTCAATCCAGACAAGACGGAGGTCCTGTTGGTGGGTGGTTCGGGCTTCGGGGTAGGGGACCTGGACCTTGTCCTGAATGGGGTTGCACTCCCTCGGAGGGACAGGGTTCGCAGCTTGGGAGTGCTCCTCGACCCAGAGCTGTCATTAGAAGCTAAGGTGACGGCGGTGGCGAGCAGTGCTTTCCTTCAGCTTCGGCTGATCCATCAGCTGCACCCCTATCTGGAGAACGATTGCCTGGCGACAGTGACACATGCACTGGTAACTTCCTGATTAGACTTCTGTAACGCGCTCTATGTGGGGCTACCCTTGAAGACAGTCCGGATACTTCAATTGGTGCAAAACAGAGCTGTCAGGTTGCTGACGGGGACTGGGCATTGTTGTCATATAACCCCAGTCCTCCGTCAGCTTCACTGGCTTCCCATTGAAGTCCGGGCCCAATTCAAGGTGTTGGTTATCACCTATAAAGCCCTCAACGGCTTGGGACCTGGTTATCTAAAGGAGCGCTTGCGTCCATATATGCCCTCCTGCTCCTTGAGCTCGGCAGCAGAGGCCCTTCTACGGGAACCCTCTGTGAAAGATATTAGGAGGGTGAGTACCCGGAGGAGGGCCTTCTCTGCGGTGGCGCCCCACCTATGGAATGTGCTCCCCAGAGAGGTCCACCTGGCGCTGTCGTTATTTGTTTTTCGGTGCCAGGCCAAGACTTTATTTAAAAGTTACTTTAATTGTTAATTTATTGATTGTATAGAAATTGTTTAAATAAATAAATAAATTTCTTACACTTTCTAATTCAAATCAGCATGTATTATCCTCAAAACACTGATAAGTTTGAACCAGACCAATCTTCTCAGCCATTTTCTGAGTGTTTTAGAGAAAAGTCTATTGTTCTTCTAATGTCTGGTTATAATGCTAGAGTATGAATTGGATGTTTCATCATTAACATTAACTCAAAGTTATACTTCATAGGGCTGAGGGACAGCCTAGTAAGGTGGAGAAGATTCAGCAAAGACTGTAATCACTCCCCTTTTCCACAAGCCACGGCACCCTGAGTGGAATTCTGCTCAGGGAATACTTCTGCTAGTAGTGGAAAATCATATATCTATCAGTACTGTCGTAATATTATATCTGTGTTATCTAGGATCTATTTGCAAATATTAACCATTTGAATATATATTGAGTCATTTTCTATGAACACTGACAATATAGTTGAGTTACACATAGAAGATTCCTTAGCTTTGCGAAGGCTTGTCTCATGAAATTATACCATGAGTATAATTTCTCTGCATCCAAGCTGAGGAGCAGTACAACTGCTAAAGAGTTATTTAATTTGAACATACAAAATAAGAATATAGTCCATAATTATGCTATGTGTGAATTGCTCATTTTCTTACCTACCTAAGGTAGAAAGACTGTTGCAAACGTGATTAAATATATATCTGAATTATGACAAACACAGGTATTCCTCTAAGTGTAGAACAAAAGCACCTAATTTTCCATTTTTTGAGCCAGAATATAAAATTACAAGAGATGCTACAATGTATGATGAAAAATGGTGCTTAAATCTATCACACAGTTTATCAAAAATATTAAATGAGCAAATACCAGATGTGTCTTCTTGAACTTCAAACTCTGCACCAGCAGACCCAAGAAGAGAAGCACCATGTTTTAAAAGTCGGCAGATATCAAATCTGTCAAAGCGCAGACGATCCGAGGTAGATAACTCTTCCATCAGACTTTCACAGCCATATTCTGGATTTAAAAGAAATGCAGAATGAGATTGGTGCTGCTGAAGGAGAGAGGTTGTATATACAGCTCAACAGCTCTCTAGTTTAATAATGGGTGAAAGCATTACACATGTAAGCAAGGTGAAAAGGTAGGCAATAAAGAATGTACTTTATAGAAAGGAGGAACCTTTTATTTATTATTGATTTGTTAACAAATAAGCATTTTATACAGTGTAAGAGCTGATGCAGGACACATTCAGAGATATGCCTGAACGCAAATTAAAAATTATAATTTGTAATAATTTTAGATCTTTTTAAAGCACCTTGTTTTGGTCGTGGAGCTGGATTCCATTCAGGTACATTTTTCACTATTGCTTCTACAGCTTGACCAGCTGCAATGCGGGTATCCCAGTTTGTACTCCTTAAGTGTATCAGTACCTTTAAGAAGTTCAACAATGAATGAGTTATCTTTATAGATTAAAACCGGTTCGGACAACAAAACAACCCACAGGAGCAACACCTCCTAAAATAATCTTGGGGTTTTCAGAGTAGCTTGTTGCTCTCAAACAAGCCACCTTATGAGAAGCCGTATGGATTCACACCATGACAACCCACTGTCTTGTCACTTATGATGGGTAAATATGAACTCAGTTACTGTTAGAGAAATTTCTCCTCAGCATCCACTCACCCTCCAAAACATTTAGATTATCAAGTTCAGCCAACTAATTGCTTTGTTCTCATGAGGAGGAGGGGCTGAGGTAGCCCCTGGTTTCTATGGACAATTGTAGTGCCTTGTCCTTTTCTTCACTTGAAAATGGCCCTGCCCCACCGCCTGTCCTGAAGCTGGCCTTCACCAGTTGGTGCATTAGCTGGCACAAAAGAAAACATGCTGGCTGACAGGGCAAAGGGGGGCTGCAACTTGCTACAACTTTGTTACAACTTCAGAAGGCTTCAGTTGTAGTGGGGACTCCAATTCTTCCTATGGCCAGTCAGCCAGCATTAACCAGCTACAGAACTGTGCACTATGATAGCCAGGAATAATGGCACTTCACATTGCTTATGAAAATACTCAATAAAATGCTTACTTTAGCCAAGAGATTATTTAGCTCATGTGGATGAAGCTTCACAACCTCCCCCAGTTGCTGTGCAGCGGCTTTCCTGGTTACTGGTGTTGTGCCAGTGTCCAATAAGATAAAGAGACGATCAAGCCTAGTATGAATAACAAAATAAAATTTATTTTTTCTACCTTTACACTCATTTTCCATTCAAAATGTTTACTTTTCACAGTCATTTTGACTTCGGGCATGAGCCAGAAGTCATAGGGTGCCAGATCTGGTAAACAAGGTGGATGAGGATGCACCTTAATGTTTTTGACAGAAATTGCTGTACCAGAAGTGATGCGCATTTTGAATCGATTCAGGACATTGAGGCAGCCACAACAACACAACTAAAGATGCTCATGAAAGAGGACTTCCAGAATTGCTTCAGAGAGTAGCAAGAAAGATGGGGTAAGTGTTCGAAGTGATGGGGAGTATTTTGAGGGGGATTAAAGGGAATGTCTTACTGTAATTTTTTTTAGTTTAAACATTCACTGTATTTTTGATGACACCTTGTATATAACCACTTCTCACTAAGGTACAGTAGATACACATAACATTATTACTTCAAACTCAGTATGTTTCAAGATGCCATATTTGCTGTTAAAGTTTATCGAAATGGCTATTGTTTAGGGTCTGGGAACAGATTAATTCACTCTCCATTATTTCTAATGGGAGAAACTGATTCAGAGTTTGAATGATTCAAATGGTCTCCTGAAACAAATTAAGTTCAAAGTATGAGGCACCACTGTATAACTTTCCAAGGACTGCATAACAGTGGTGAGCACTACCATTGTATTTCCCTTGCCTTCTGCCACTCAAAATTTGAGGTTGATGGCAGTATATGGGGTAAGGTATCCTTTTCACCCAGCTGACACACCCTTGTAAATGCCACCCCTATTAACCAGACTTAGAAAAATAATCCCATTTGTGCAGGGTTCACATGTAGCATAGCCGCATACTCAGAATTAAGTCTCACTCAAGTCAAAGGGAATTCCAAACTTTTTTAATCTGGGGAAACATACACAAGCTTCATGAGTGCAGAATTAAGTGGAAATACAGTTTAATAGCTAGAAGGGAAGGTTTGCAATGAATTTTCCTCCATTTACTTCTCAGCTCTATTATCTGTGTATATTTCTCAGTAAATACACACACTAATGTTCTAGGAAGTTTAAAAAAAACCCTTAGGTGACAGACCGGAAAGGAGCAAGTGGAACACCAGTGGTGCTTAGACCAGTCTACCACATGCACACCCATTCAGTTTCCCATCTAGTATTTTTACAACCATCAGGGAACTGCAATAAATGCAACAGTAAGTGCTCTGGACAGGTGCCATGAAAAGGAATATTGGCCCTGTCTGGATGATCAGAAGTCTCTGGGAAATGTTAAAAATGGAGGGCACTGAGAACTGTCAGGTCAACACTTGAAACAGAGAGGATTACTTCGCTTAGACACCCCCTTTCATGGCATCTACTTTTTTCTCTCTATCAGTGATTTTTTAGCAACTGAGCATGATTAGACTATATGCAGGCTGCCTTGTCAATATCCATCTATGTTACCAACTTACAGCTGAAACTTACAAAACATTAACCAGAGAAGACTACACATACATGTGTGAATGCATTAGACTAACAAAAATAGAGAGAACACATGTTTATGAAGGCCCCTGTGCATATTTCTGAGGCCAAAATAAGGTGGCGAACCATTGAAGGTTGGTCCAAAGTGCGTCTTTAACATTGGCAGAAGGGCTTTCATTGGCAACAGTATATGCAAACAGTAGCAAGGTTCAGTAGTACCTTGGCTCACGAACTTAATCCATTCCACGACTCTGATCACAACCCAAATTGGTTGTGAGCCAAGTTAAATTTCCCCATAAGGTTCCATGTAAATAAGGTTAAAAAAATAGTTACAGAATAATCACAAAAATCTGAAGCAAAAGAACAACAAAGATCGCAGCCATCCCCCCCGCCCTCACCCGTGTTCCCTGCACGAGCGTGGGCATGATCGCACTCAGGCAGGGAACACAGGCGCAATTGCAGCCATCTCCCCCCGGCCCCCAAGTATGATCACTGCCATATCCCCCTGCCCCAAGCACAATTGCGGTCATGCTTGTGCAGGGAAGACCCAATGCAGAGTTTGCGACCTGAGGCAAAATTTTCCCTAAATTTTTGTTCACGACCCAATTTGGTCGTGAACTGAGGCATTCATGAGCTGCGTTACCACTGTAATTTGGCTGTTCTTGACAAGTGGTCCAACTAGTCGCTCTTCAAACCACAGTGAAATTGGTCACAGAGGTTCAGATGACACAACAGCCTCCTATGGTTAGCGATTACGGACTGTTACACTGTAGGAACTCAGATGCTTCCTCCAGGGTGGCTTATTTAGGCTTGTTCAAGTGGTTGTTGGACTTGAGGGGTTGCTGCATCGTTGAGAAATGGTGAGCAAGCTGCTTGATTAAAGCAAAAACAAAAAAACAAACCCTTATAATACTCTTGGGCCTCCTCTAGGAACAGTGGCTCCACCAAGTTCCCAACTTTACTAACATGCTCTCCTCTGCCATAGTTATGAGCCTTTCTGCAGCTGCCACTTGTGAGACTGATTTTTGCAGTATCTGAAGTTACAGCCCCTCCAAAGTGTCAAACTGCACACTCAAGAGGCCACTGCTGGGTCTCCAACTTTTTAAAAATTACTTGTGCCATAAACATGCACAAATATTTTGCTATTCTTTTAAAGGGTTTTGCTGGTGTTGTAAATATTTTGGAGGTTTAAACTGTCTTTACCCTTTTGTATATTGCAAATTTATACTGTCCTAAATTTGTTCATTGGATTTTATTTTGTACTTTTCTGTATTTTTAAATATAGTCCAAAAACCATGCACAACTCCAACTACTGAAAATCTAAAGTTTTGGCAATGTCCTGGTAACTGTGCACTCTCAAAGCAAGTATCATCTATGAACAATAGCAAAAGCAGGGTGGGGGAAGGACAGGGGGATATATGCATATGTCACAGGCAAAACCCCATTTTAAAAGAATGTCTGCTACTGACATTTATTTAAAGCTTTTGTATGTCGTCTTATTTTACAAGATCTCAGGATGGCTTACAATATTCAAAAAAACAATTAAAACAATTTCAATAAATAGAACAGAACAAAATAAATCACAAAACAAACAGAGCAACTAAACTTAAAAGCTGTTAAATTTTAAAATACTGTTTAAATAAAAATAAAAAGGTTTTGGTCTGGTGATGAAAAGAGTATAAAGTTGGCACCAGGCGTACCTCTCTAGGAAGTACATTCCAGAGTCTGGCCGCCACAGCAGAGAAGGCCCTACTCTGAGTTGATGACCTTTTTACCTCTCTTAGAGAGGGTTCCTGGAGCAGGGCTTCTCCTATAGATCTTAAGGGGTGTGAGGGCATATACGGAAGGAGGTGTTCCTTCAAGTATCCTGGTCCCATGAGCTTTTCCAGGCACCTAAAGAATCTGCCAGGTCCACATTTATTTAAAACATTTTAATGCCGCCCCCAACGCAACAAAGTCTCGGGGCGGCTTACAACAAAAACAAAAATATACAAAATTATACAAAAACAAAGTTATACACTAAAAATATTAAAACCCGGTGCATCTCGGCTTAAATTTTAAAATCCTACATAATTAACACTTAAAATAAGTTTTAAATAAAAAGGTCTTAGCCTGGCGCTGAGAAACAGATAACAATATAAATTTCCAATATATAAAAGTGTAAAACAATTTAAACCCCTAAAACAATTGCAATACAAATTACACTTAATAAAACAGCTGGCATAACTCAACATACGTGATAAAAAACCTGGAAATAGAGGGCAGTTTTAGCATGTTACCAAGATGACGACAATGTTGGGGCCAGGCCTGCCTTACTGGGGAATTTGTTCCAGCTGCATAAATGGGAGGCCACCACTGAGCAGGACATCTTCTTTGCTGCCTCCTCCTGGGCCTCCCCTGAAGCTGGCAACCAGAGGAGGGTCCCAGGTTCAGATTGTAAGGTTCAGGTAAAGTGAGGCCAGGAGAGGCAGTCCATCAGGCATTGTGGTTCCAAGTCATGTAGGACTTCGTAAGTTAAAAGCAACACTTTTAATCGTGCTTGGAAGCATACAGGCAACCCAAAAAAAAAAAAAGCTCCACTGGGCAGCAAATACATTATTGAATAGAGACAGTGAGATGTTGTTTCTTTGCCCCTCTCACTGCCCCTAAGTATACCTGATTACAGGTACACAGCAGGGCTTGATTATATTACGATTTATAGCCTGCTTATCTCTAAGTAACTGAAAGCAGCTTACATGGTTCTTTCTCCTCTCCATCTTATCCCTCAAACAATAACCCTGTGAAGTAGATTGGGCTGACAATCTGTGACTGGCCTAAAGTCACCCAGTTGGCTCCATGGCTGAACAAGGACTAAACCCCAGAATGTCCAAGTCTGCTAGGAATTTTCCTATATTTGCACTCGTTTCCTATTTTGTTTCATCACACTTGGTTCCAGCATATACTCACCTTCTGATATGTCAAGCAAAGTGAGTGCAAGTAAAGTATTTCAAGCCTGCCTTTGGCAAAAATCCATGGATGCTGCCTAGCTGGACAGTAGACACTTTTCAGAACACTAAGCAAGCAATGCTTCCAATTCAGCAAAAGGAATCATTATTATAGTAAGGAGATGAGGCAAGACTAGTCTTGTCATGCAGGTCCCTGGATACCTGTGGGAGGACCGAGGGAGCCAGACAGAGAACAACCTACAACGAGCCCAGCCCTGTGTTGGATGCAGTGGCTGATTCTGGTCTCTTGAATAATGGTTCTAGTCAAACCCAAGCATGGCACGACTGAAGGTATTTTATTGCTTTATTACTACAGTTACTTTACCTTTATATCTTGCCTTTCTTCCTCTTGTGAGAAAGGAAAGATGGCTTCTATAGCTCCATTTTATCCTTACAGCAACCACTCTGTGAGGTAGGTTGGGCTGAAAGAAAGTGACTGGCCCAAAATCAACCATTGAGCTACACAGTCAAGTGGGGAGTAGAACCCAGACCTCCCAAGTTCCCAGTTCAGCACTCTAGCCATCACACTGTCTCTTCACAGTACTTTAGAAATTCCAAAGAATCCATAGTGTTAAAAAGACAAGCAAAATACTAGAGATGAATTATTACAGACAAAATCATATACATGCATACAAAGATATGCCTCCCACATACAAAAAAAGCCTACCTAAAAATATTAGATTACAATCAAGTTAACAAACCTATTGTGTGTTATTTTCTAAATAGCTACCAAACCAATTAAAATACACATGGAAACTGTTTCCCTATGATCTACTAACACTTAAGATTCCCTACTTAATGCAGCTAAAAGCCCTAACAGCGTGAACAAGCTGGTTCGAAAAATGCTGTTTTGTATGTTTTCATTACAGTGAGATGTAGCTGATAAAACTGACTTTTTCTAATAACCCAATCAGCATACAGAAGTGACAATGTTAAAAATTGATGGTTTCAAAACAATGTTGCAATGCAGTATTTTATTATTTACAGTATGTGTGCTAACCTTTCATTCAGATAGTCATACCTAGAAGCCCATTCTACAAGTAGTTTTTAAACAGGAAAATATCAAAATGTAAGCAAGTCATACTGATTTTCAAATGTAAGCAGGGCTGACCCCCACTACAAGGAATAGTAAGAGGGCAAGCTTGGTCAGTAGACTTTTGAAGTCATCAAGGGCAAAGTAAAGATGAAATAAAAATGTAACTCTATGCAAACTCTATGAAAATTTAAACAGGAAAGGCCTACAATTTCCACTATGGCCCAGATAGAAGTCCCAACATACCCCGGCCATTTGTACTAACAAGCATAGGGTTGCACCCCAAATAAATTTAAATATTATACAATTATAGATCCATAGAATAGTTGTAGTGAGCCGGAAGGTCACTAGGTCCAACCTGCTCCTCAGTGCAGAACTCCATCCCTCTCAGATGGCTATCAGTTGCAACTTGAACACTTCTGGGAAAGGGGGTAGAAGACAACAGAAGTAGCCCATATGACTTCAAAAAAGCTTACAGATGGGCTGAAAACAGAAAAAAGTCATATACAGGAAGGGGAAGAAAGGTAAGGCTACAAATGAAGAATGTAGGCAGAAGCAGAGAATTGCAGGGAAGGCATCAGGAAGGCCAAAGCCAGGAATGAAGTGAGACTACCAAGGGATGCTAAAGGCAACAAGTCTTTTTTAAATATGTCCAAAGCAAAAGACAGAGGGAAAGAAATGAGAGGTGCAGCTACTCAATGTGGATGGTAAAATAAGATGACAATGAAAAAGCAGAAGTGTTCAATTCTTACTGTTGCTATCTTTCCCCAAAAGATCTGTCGCCTTCCTGATCAAGGGAAATACAAGCTGAAGGAACAGAATGGCAAGCTCAAGATTGATAAGCAAAAGGTCAAGGATCATTCAATTGGGTTGATTGAGTTCAAATCTCCAGGATCTGATGCACTCCATCCTAGAGTGATAAAGGAGCTGGCAGAAGAGCTCTCAGAACCATTCTGTATTATTTCTGAGAAATCGTGAAGGACAGAGGAAGTACCAAATGACTGAAGGGCAAATTTTGTCCCACTCTTCAAGGAAAGAAAAGAACCACCTGGGAACTACAGACCTGTCATTCAGACATCAATCCCTGGAAAAATTCTGTAACAGATTATAAAGCAGTCAGTCTGCAAACCCCTTGAAAGCAATACAGTGATTACTAGCTGGCTACAGAATCAGACTCAAAGAGTATGCATCAATGGTACCTTTCTCAAACTGTGGAGAGGTAACAAGTAGGATACTGCAGGGTTCAGTCCTGGGCCCAGTGCTTTTCAATGTTTTCATTAATGACTTGGATAAGGGAGTGAAGCTAACAATTATTAGATTTGTAGATGACACAAAACTGGTCAAACAGCTAAAACTCTGGAAGAGAGATAAGATACAGGGAGAACTTGATAGGTTAGAACACTGGGCAGAGAACAGAATAAAATTCAGTAGGGACAAATGCCAAGTTCTGCACCTAAGAAAAAGAAAGCAAATGCATTGTTACAAGATGGGAACTATTTGGCTGAACAATACTGCAAGTGAGAAGGAACTTGGGGCTGTTGCAGATTACAAGCTGAAAATGAGCCAGTAATGTGATACAGCTGCAAAAAGGGCAAATGCTATTTTGGGCTGCATTTTCACTTCCAAATCACATGAAGTACTAGTCCCCCTTTGCTCAGTACTGGTTAGGCCTTATCTGGAGTACTGTGTCCTGCTCTGGATACCTACTTAAGAAACAACAAATAATTCAGGGACTGGAGGCAAAGCCCTATGAGGAAAGAGTGAGAGAACAAGGCATGTTCAGCCTCAAGAAGAGATGGCTGAGGGGTGATAACAGCATTCTAAAAGTACTTGAAAGGCTGTCAAAGAGGAAGGGCAAGATCTTTTCTTGTTCATTCCAGAAAGCAGGACAAGGAATTATGTACTTACATTGAAAGGAACCAGATTTAGACAAGGTGCCAGGAAGAATTTCCTCACTGTCAGAGCAGTGCAACAGTGGAATCTATTACCTATGGAAGGTGTGGGCTTTTCCTCAAAGATATTCAAAAAGCATCTGGAAAGTCAACTGAATGGAATGGTGTAACATAGTATCCTGCAATAGCAGGGTGTTGGACTCAATGGCTGCCTGACCCCTTCCAACTCTGCTGTTCTAAGATTCAGTGATGTGCTTTTGCCACAAAACAGGCAAATATACTATTTTAGGCTGTATTAATAAGCATCATTTCCAAATCCTATGAAATACTAATTCCCCATACTCGGCACAGGTAAGGCCTCATTGGGAGCACTGTGTCCAGTTATTGGCACCACAGTATAAGAAAGGTGCAGACAGGATGGCAGGGCTCAGAGGACGACAACAAGGATGATCCAGGGTCTGGAAACAAAGTCCTGTAATGAGACATTAAAATAATTGGGCATGCTTAGCCTCAAGAAGAGAAGGGTGAAGAGAGATATGATAGTACTCCAAAAGTACTTGAAAGGCTGTCACAAACAGGAAGGACATCTTGATCAAGTTACAGGAAACCAGATGCTGGGTAGATCTCAGGAAAAATTCCAACCGTTAGAGCACTACAACAATGGAACCAATTACCTAGGGAGGTTGAGGGCTTCCCCACACTAGAGGCATTCAAGATGCAACTGGACAGCCATCTGAGAGGGATGGTTAACTTGGGAGTTTTGCTCTGAGCAGAGGGTTGGGCCTGAAGGTCTTCTTGCCCCTTCCAATTCTACTATCCTATGGTTCTCTAGCACACATGTTTAAAATAAAGTGTTAACACATATTTAACTTCTAATTTCATGAAAAAACATATTAGCTTTATACTGTCATTGTTTGCCTAGTTTTAAAATTTTTGGCTTTTTCTAGAGCAAGTTGCATACCCTGTCAAGTTCACTTTGAACCTATCCTGAGTTAGTTATTAATAGTTTGCAGTAAGTAGCACAGCTACTAATGTGTAAAGACCACACTAGCGACCAGCACAAAAATCTCTGTATGTACAGAGCGCTGGCTGCCAGCAAAACAATCACACATTTGTTAATGCATTTAACACAGTTCAGTAGACTACAACTTAAACAGCAAAAAATGTAAAAAGTCTGACTAGTTGATAAATGTATAACTAGCTATTACACACAGCAGAAATACAAAACCATCTAGTGCAACACAGTTGCTTATGCACAAGCCTAAGCAAAATAAATGGACTTATGTTCTAGGACTATATGCACACTTAATATATAGAACCGGCATACACATACAAAGAAGGCCATCCTGATTAATTTCATGACTCCTCATTCATTTATGTGAAGTCAAAATCTGACTCCAGTACTTAAAGAACGAACGTTTCCTGTGGCTCTCTCAGCACGATTTAGGTTGCAGTTCTTTCTCTAAAACACTTCTTAATGTTAAAGGCGGGATGGGGAAGTTTGGCAGCTTTCATACACTGAAGCCCTAACAGTTAGGGAAAAACTAAGGGAGTTCCTGCTTTCAGGGTGATGCGCCCAGCTGTCCTGGATTTCGTTTTTCCTAGCTTTTAATAGCCGAAAAAATTCTACTTCCAGGAAACTCAGCGAACACACTCACCTCTGCAACCCCACGAGGCCTGTCTCACTCAGGAGAAAGAAAGCCAAGCGCCAGGGGTGCCCATCTGAACATTACGATGACTGCTTGCCTAAGCGAACAGACTCCCATAAAGGCCACCGACTCCCCACAGCCCACATCCCCAGCACCTTACACTGACCTGGAGACGGCCATGACGAGAGACAGACAGAGCCTGGGCCTGGCAGAGCAGCGAGAGAGCCGCCACGGCTCTGGCAGGAAGGAGGGGGGCAGGGCCCTGGCCTGGGCCTCCGGAAAGCGCGCAGCGGCCCACCAGCAGGATGGCGACTAGTCGAGGTTGTAGCCAGCGGCGGCTCAAATCCCCCTCCCCCCTTCCGCCGTCTGTGCAAGCAGTAGCGACGCAAAACACTACCACCGCGGATTAAAGTCTCAATTCCTCCATCACCAGGGAGAAGCCCGACGCCTGGTTTTATATGAGCAGCCATCTTGTATTTATTCCCTTCCTCCATGGAAGCCGCTTCCTGATTGGCATGGACGCTAAACCGCAGCCAATAGCATGCGTGCTTTGAAGAAATGCACGAGGGCTGGGACAAACCGGGGCTAAATAGGAGTCTGCTATTGAGTTCGGAAAGCCAGCTGAAGAAGGTGCTGGCGGTAGCAATAGCTCATAGTGAGGGGTAGTACCATTTGTCCTACTAGCGTGCTTTTAAAAAATAGAGACACAGCAAAATCTATTTCTCATCCGCAGGTGGCAGGAAGACGTCTTTTTTCAGTCCTCAGATATGACTAGCATGTTTGTAAAATAAAGCTCTAAAGGTGTTAACCAAAAAGATCATTCCATGCAGCTCCCCCCATAAACTCTTGCAATGGAATAAACCACAATTTATGGCTCGAACGTAGTCTAGAGAGAAGGGCTAACGTAGTCTATACTTTGATGCTAGGATGGGAGGACTACAAGTCCCAATGTTCGTTGCACCATAAAAGCTTCGAGTGGTTGTATTTGTGTTCCGTTTAAGATGCTAGCAAGCTGCTTGTGGGTTGGGTTTGAGTTCGGTGTGGGTCCTTTGAGGCAAACTTCGTAAAGACATGGACAAAGCCGGATATACGGGAAAAGTTGCTCAAAAGCAAACTGCCGGCCACTTCGAAATATTTCAGGATTCAGTTAAAGGTCAACATACTTCTCCAAAACGATTGAGGCTTACAGAATATAAATAAAACACAGGGTTTTTTTAACAAGCACAATTCGGAAAAAAAGTTTTCTTAAAAACAATAGAGTAGAACAGCTAATACGTTTAGCGTTATAGCCTGCTGAGAGTTCTAGAATTTTTTTCTGTCTAAACTTGCATAGGATTGAGCTTTAAGGCTATAGTCCTACTTGTGCTTTCATGAGAGTAAATGTAGTGATGCATTTGGTTTCTTTTTCCTAGCTGGAGAACTTGACACTTGTCCTTATTCAATCTCATTCTGTTGCTTTCTGCCCAGTGTTCAAGTTTATCCAGATCACCCTGGATCTTCATTCTGTCTTCTAGGGCGTTTGCTATTCATCTAGTTTTGAATTGTCTGCAAATTTGATTATCTTTCCTTGTATTTCCTCATCTAAATCATTAATAAAGATGTTGAAGAACACTGGGCCCACTAGTTATTTCCCTGCAGTTTGAGAGGGTGGCATTGATGTGACCTCTTTGTGTCTGATTTAGCAGCCTATTTTGGATCCACCTAATAGTTTTTCCATCTAGTCCACTTTTTGCTAATTTGCTTATCAGAATGTCATGGGGCACTAAGTTAAAAGCTTTGCTAAAGTCTAGGTAGATTATGTCCACAGTGTTTCCTCTGTCCATTTGGGAGGTTACCCAGTCAAAAAATAAGATTAAATTGCCACCTGGGCATAGTGATTTGTTAACCTCATTTTGTCTTAAATTTAAGAAATTCATCCTTTGTTACCACTATTTCCCTCAATTCCTCAGACTCTCTTCTGGAAAACATTGATAGGTACAGGTAGCTGTCCTCTACTGCAGCATAGACAAATCAAAACAATTAATTTAACTTCTCCATAATCTTCTTATCCTCCTTTAGTAATCTTTTATCTCCATTATCACCCAACAGTCCAACAACATCCCTAGCTAGTATCCTGCTTCTTATACAGCTGAAGAATTTTTGACACTGCTTACTTAAAAAACTGTTGGCTTACAGGAAGCACTTCCTTTGGCACTTTATGCCCCCTTACTTCTCTTTTGGGCTGAGGTCAACCATGATTAACTGAAATCTTGGTAACTGAGCCAGTGGATACAGTGGTCCTGCTGTAGTTTCTTGACACTGCTTGTAAACTATGCTGGCAGCCTCTTGGTGTTCCCTTTCCTAACCTGTGATGTACATTATAGCTGAACTTTGAAGTAAAATGTGACTGGGTTAAACTTCCTTGGCAATTTTCCACTTAAATATATATATTAAATCCGATAGCACTGTAGTCACTACTTCCAGCTGATTCAATAATATTTACATCTCATACATGCCAAGTCCTGAGTGACACCACTAGGATTAAATCCAGGGTTACCTCCCCTCTGGTCAATCCCATTAGTAACCATTTAATGACATAGTCATTTAGGGCATGGAGAAATGTAACCTCTGTCTGTCTATTGCATTTCATTAAAGCATTTCTATACTGTTTGATTAGCATAATCCTAAACTTACATTTATCCTATGTGGGGCTAATTGTAGTCACCCATTATTGTAACACTTCAATTTTTAGTTGTTGTTGTTAGTCACAAAGTCATGTCCAACCCATCGCAACCCCATGGACAACATTTCTCCAGGCCTTCCTGTCCACCATCCCCCAGAATCCACTTAAGCTCACGCCAACTGCTTCAGTGACTCCATCTAGCCACCTCATTCTCTGCCACCCCCTTCTTTTGCCATCTATTGTTCCCAGCATTAGGCTCTTCTCCAGGGAGTCCTTCCTTCTAATTAGGTGGCCAAAGTATTTGAGTTTCATCTTCAGTATCTGGCCTTCTAAAGAGCAGTCAGGGTTGATCTCCTCTAGGACTGACCGGTTTGATCTCCTTGTGGTCCAAGGGACTCGCAGGAGTCTTCTCCAGCACTACAATTCAAAGGCCTCAATTCTTCGGCACTCAGCCTTCCTTATGGTCCAACTTTCACAGCCATACATTGCAACTGGGAAAACCATAGCCATGACTATATGCCCTGATTAATATTTACTTCATGTTCTTTCACGGGTAATATTTTGAAGAGTAGAAATGCTCACTCAGCAGGTCTGATGCTTTTCAAGCTTTTATTCTTCGCTATAGCCGGTGGTCGATGGCTTGTAGGGGGTGGATTTCCCCCTTGTGTCGGTCAGCTGAAAAAATCGCAAGTTTCTCCCAGCAGATGCAGAGCTGCCGCTCCACACCAGCCAGAAGTGTGCTCGGGCTTCTAGTCCCTGCCCTGACAGGGCTTGGATGGGCCTCTTATGGCCCCCTGTCGAACGGATTACCGGCGTGATTTATGGGAGCCCCTGTTCTTCACAGCCGTCTCGCCATGACGTAGACCAGAAGTGACATAATATCCTGTTAAGGTTCTCTGAGTATGTCAATAAAGATATGAACAGAAGTGTGATCCAGTAAGCATTGTTTACTTGAAGTTCTAAAAGCTTTTTGACAAAGTCAAAAGACTCCTATATCACAGACCTTTAAACAAACTTAGCAGTCATGGTGTAAGAAGATTATGAATTGCTAATTCATTAAAGATCAGAAAATAAAGAATAAATCATCTGTTCTTACAATAGAGCATGGGTCCTCAAACTACGGCCCACGGGCCAGATTCAACCCTTCATGCCCATTTATCCAGCCCGCCTCAGAGGTTTTGGATTCGCCGTGCCCACGCCCACCACTGCCAGCCTTGCCCTGCACGCAGGGAGGCAGCGGCGGCTTGCTCATGCGGCGATTGTTTTGGACTCACATGGAGAGTGCCTCGACCATGTGTGCCTCCCCCTGCCTCGCCTCCCCTTGCTGCTCATGCCCATGCACGCGCCCACCCCGCCTCACCTCACCGCCCCTCACCTCACTGCCCCCTGCCCCCTCTCCGCCCCTGCACCGGCCCCACTCGCCACTGGCACCACCTTTCCGGCCCATGCCCACCACTGGCACCTTTCAACTGCCCCTCTGTTGAAAAAAATTGAGGATCCCTGCACTAGAGGGATGTAAATGATGGTGTCTCCAAGGACCAATGCTTTTTGACTTGTTCATAAACTATCTGGAGTTCCAACTGCAGACTGTGTTTGTTACGAAGACCAAATTATGCGGGATAGTTAAAACAGAAAGGGACTGTGAAGATGACTAAAGCATTTTTTCCAAAATGGGCAAAAAAGTACTTGCCCAATATAGTGTTGGAGTTTGCCTCATATGTCAAGCATTCTAGCATTACAAGATGAACAGGATGTCAAGGAAGAACTATTGCAAGAACATCAAGAGATGCCTAAGCAGTGACCCAGAGGGTAGGTGTTGGGGTAGGTGATAACCTGCTCCTCATAGTCGTACAGGTGGGGGATGTTTCCCTCCTTCATCTTGTCCCAAACTTCAATGGGAATTTCAGATGTTTTCAGAAGCCCACAGCCATCAAAGGAAATCTTGCCATCACTAGTTATGCACATTTCAACTATTCAGCAAATTCTGTTTGATTTGAAATCATTGTTCTCTCTGATCAAACATACAATGGTGGGTCTTCAATGCCATTCATATGTCTTTGAAAATATATTTTTGATCCATCCTATAAAACAAGAAATCTAACCTCAAAAGTGAAAGGAAATGTCTAAGGTTATATAGGTAGGATAGTAATAGAACACAAGTCCTCATGTTGATCATTCTTACTAACGATAGGTTTCATTCTGAAACAACCCTTGACTTCAGCGTTTTAAAACAGGAACTATTTAAAAAATCCAAATCAATAAGCATGAATTAAGCATGTTATTATAGCTAGTTTATTTTCATATTTACAACAGAATCCTTCCTTTTAAATCATACTCCACAGTAATTATTGACAGCAGTATTTAAATTCTTTTATTACAAGTTTTGTATACTGAAATACTTATATACATTACAAAATGGAGAAAGGGGAAACAGCTTATAATGTGCCTTATGCATGGCCTTCCAATTTCACTAAAAGTAGTCACAATTGTTATTTCACATAAGTTGGACATGTTTCCACATAGACTTAACAAATGTACTCACTATCCAAATGTTTTTTTAAAAAAATCATACATAAACAATTGTGAAACATCCTATTACAGAAGCTAGTTTTGTAATTGTGAAATATATGCTTCAGTTTAGGAAAAGGTCTGGTCCACACACAAAGGAAAACAGGTGATACATGCATGCACAGATGTATCTGGTTCATTTCCAACGATAGCGTTCTCTTGAATGTAAATCATAATATATTCTATGTTCCTCCTCAGATGCATAGTCTAAAGGTAAACCATAATTGTAATCAATTGTTACAACTGGTAATCTTTTCCCTTGACCCATCTCCCTTGCAATTTCACGTTGAGGTTCCCTTTCATGGTCCACTGAAACTGAATTAGTTTCCTGATGTATAGATGAAGGATATGGTGTGTGGGAGGGATATGGTGCAAATCTACTTTTCCCTTCTCTGTTAACTTCATCTGAAGGATGAATTCTCTTGTAATCGTCCAGGTAATCAGGCCTATAATATGAAAACAACCATTAGTTGAAAGCTTTATCAGGGATTGATTAACAACAGTGTGATAGATAAGGCTTAATGGTTACATTTAAGCACCAGAAGTTGAGTGAAATGTAAGAAAAACAGAACTATATATAATTTGCCTTAACATGGACTTTCTCTGGAAACAAAACTTTAAAGTAAAAATGGAAAAGCTGTCCTTTTCCAAATTATGTTTATTAGAAACTGTGTGAAAGAAAGCAACATTCCCCCCCACCCCCAACTGCCACCATTGGGGTTTTTTTTCATTTCAATACATTATATAGAAAAAATATTATCAATCTAAGTCTCAGTGTATGGCAGAATCCTGTTTTGCTCAGCCTCCTCTCCAGAAGGCATTTCTCTGGTCTTTTCAATATAATAGAGAATTCTCCATGCATGCAATGGAGCAATCATGGGATGTATATGGAAGATTTGTCCTCATAAATAAAAAGAGGAACCTGAGCCCATGCTGACCTCCTTGCGCACATCAGCCCCCAAGAACTTTAGCCCTCATTTATGGTATATTAGGCAGCAATCCTATATACACTTTTCTGAGAGTAAGTAGCACTGAACTCAGGGGAGCTTAATGTGAAGTAGACATACATAGGAATGCACTGATGCAGCATATATTTATACATGTTTACTCAGGAGTAACCCTTAATTAATTTTGTGATTCTTACTTCCAAGTAAGTTAGTGTATAGGTTTGCAGCCTTAGGGAAAGCTCCTATGCAGCTATTCTGGCTGGAGCATACTATAAATTTTAAGTGTGTGTGTGTTTTTGTCTAAACATACATAGGATTGCTTCCTGAAGTGTTCTAAAGTGTTTGCAAGTTATACTAAAAGATGCATATTCTTTTTGTGCTTTGTCTTTCATTTAGGTGATCAAGTATCTTTATAGGAATATAACTAAATATATTGTTTCAATAAATATATTCTCAAACACATTTGTTCTCTATTGAAGAGACCACTATTTTTGCTACTTCACGTCACTACAAATTACATTAACTTATACTGGACTGTCCTTTTACTTCTTGATACATGTACATAAAACGTGCTCTATGTTATATGAGGTGTTCCAAAATTACAGAAAAAGGCAGGTTGCTTACCTCTAACCAGGGCTTTTTTTGTCATAGAATGCACTGGAACGGTGTTCTGGCACCTTTTTTTCCAATGGATTTTACGAAGTGATTTTGAATCATAGCAGATCAGCAGCAAACATCATTAACATAGTGCCTGCGGGCTGCTTTTGTGTCTGCTATCTGACAGTGAGATAGTGAGGGTCCTGCTCTCCCTCTCGGCTTGGGATTAGTGTGTGTGTGGTCACGCGCTTACTGCCAGCGATGTGAGTTCCGGCACCTTTTTTTTTTTTTTTTTTTAACAAAAAAAGCACTGCCTTTAACCATCATTCTTCAAGTGGTCATCTGTGAATTCACACATATGGGTGCTGTGCTGGTGCAGTGCCTGTGTTAGGGAAGGTTCTTTCAGCATTAATAGTTTTGGTGGGAAAAATGCACCCCCCGTATAACAGATGGAGTCTAATTGGAAACTGGCTGTTCACTTTACGTAATGCTGGTATAACATAAGGAAATAGTTCAGCATCAACCTGAAGTGATCACGGACACCAACACAGTGCTGGTGGATGGGTTGTGTGAATACACAGATGACCACTCCAAGAGACATGTACAGGTAAGCAACCTGCCTTTCTTTGCCATGGTCTCTGTGCATCACACATATAGGTGATTAGCAAGCTTACCATGTGGAAGGGTGTCATCATTGTAGAATGGGAAAGAGGACCGCATGTCCAAACAAGCAATCTCTTCTGGCTCTTGTGTCACCACGGTAGTGCCATATGAAAGTGCATGGTGATGCCCACTTAGCAGCTCTGCAGAGACCTTGCAGGGCAATACCAGCATGCAAATGCTGTTGAGGTGGAGACAGCCCTAGTTGAGTGTCCTTTTGGGATGATTGGAAGTTCTATTTTACCAAGCAGATATGTGAGCTTGATGGTTTTGGTCACATATTTGGATAGGTGTTGGGATCCTATTGGTGTTCCCTTGTCATGATTGGAGTATTTTGACAAAGAGACAGTTAGTCTTTCTGAACTGTTCTGTTCAAGAGCAATAGAAAGCAAGCACTCTCTTGATGGCTAGTGTGTGACGTGATCTTTCAATAGGTGTAGATGGAGCTGGAAAGTAGGATTGTAGGACAATGTCTTGGTCGAGGTGAAATGGTGTGGCTACTTTAAGTAAAAATGTGGGGTACATATGCAGCACTACCTTTTCTTTATGAAAACTCAGGTAGGGTGGATCTACCTGGAGTGAGCATTGCTCACTTGTCATTTGGGCCAATGTTATAGCAAACAAAAAGGAAGATTTCCATGAAAGAAGCCTTAAGTCCGTCATTGCAAGGGGTTCAAATGATGGCTTCGTTAATGCGTGCAGTACTATAGACAAGCTCCATGTTGGAACTGGTGATCAGTTTGGTGGATTTAGATTCTGTAGAGCTCATAAGCAGCAGTTCACTAGGTGATGAGAGAAAATGGAGGATCCCTTGATCAGTCCTCTGTGATACAATATAGCTGCCAAATATACTTTAATGGATGTTGGTTTTAGTCTTGATTGGTGTAGGGACAGAAGAAACTGTAGGATGTTTTGAATTGTAGCATGTGATGCTACAAAGTTATGATTAGTGCTGAATATCTGAAACCTCTTCCATTTCGACAAAGAGCTGATTGCAAAATGGCTTGAATTTCTGGATCCAATAATTGTTCTGTGGCTTCGATTGAATCAACCAGGCTGTCAGTTTGAAGGTATGAAGATCCGGATGAAGGATCTTGCCTTGATCTCTGGAAATCAAGTCCAGCATTTTGGGTAGGTGATAAAACGTCCCCTGAGACAGGTGTAGGAGGATCATGAACCAGGTCTGATGAGGTCACCATGGAGTTATTAGAATAGACTTGGTTCTGTCATGTCTCAGTTCGGTTATAGTGCTATAATCAGCTCCCAGTCGTGGGTGGAACTGGTATGGTGGCGTAGAAAATCCACTTCATCTTTCTCAGCACCAGCCACATGTACTACTTGGAGGTTGATATTGTGGTGTAATCACCAGTTCCAGAGGTGCATTGCTAGTTGGGTTAGTGGAACTGATCTTGTCCCTCCTGTTTGTTGACATAGAAGACTGTGCAGATGCTGTCTGTTGCTATCTGGATGTATTGGTCCACTACAATGTTCTGAAACAAGTGAAGAGCTTTGAACACTGCAAATAGCTCCAAGTAATTTATAGATTTTGGCAACTTGCATCTGTGCATCTCCCCTGCATTCGATGTTGTCTGCAGTGGGCTGCCCATCCAGTCTGGGATGCATTGGTATGCATGGTCACCATCAGATTTAATGGCTGGTTTAGACTGGTATCTGTTGTCCACCAGTAGAGTGTTTACAAAATTTGATGAGGAATTTTGACCTGTTGATATGGATCATCTTGCTTGGGATGATAAGTCTGGTTGTACCACAGTTGCAGTGGTCTCATTCGTAACCTCATGTGTTGGACCAATCAGTCTAAGAGAGTACAAAATGAAACTAATAACCAATCATCCAAGTATGGGAAAATTTTCACACCTTGTAGTCAAAGATGGGCACAAACTAGTGCCATGCATTTTGTGAAAATTATTGGTGCTGTTGAAAGACCCAATGGGAGCACCTTGAATTCAAATGCCTTGGTACCTACTTGGAATTGGAGAAATGTCTGCAGCTGGGGTGAATGGCTATGTGAAAATAAGAGTCTTGCAAATCTATGAATGTGAACCAGTCCTCTTTCTGTAGTAAGGGAAAAATATTCTGCAGTGTTGTCATTCTAAATTTTTTTGCTTTAATGGTTTACTCCCCATAAATCTAAAATGGGACGAAGACCTCCATCCTTCTTCAATACTGTAAATATTTTGAATAGAGACCTTGCTGTCTCTCTGATTGGTCTACTCTCTGGATTGTTCCTTTCTGTAAAAGTGTTTCAATCTCTTGAAGGAGAACCAGAGAACGTGTTGTTTTTCAGAACCTACAGAGAGGAAGCATGGTTTCAAATTCAATTTGGTATCCATGATTTATGATGGACAGAATCCACCAATCAGATGTGATGGATTCCCAAATGGGGAGATGATGTTATTGATGCTCAAATGGGAATGGAGGAGGAGAAACTGAAGTCAGAAGAAGGCCAGTTTGCGCTGCCCATCAGAATAAATGTGGCATAATAAATATGGTGATCCTCGCAGTCAGTCAGTCAGTGTGGAATGATCACAAGATTGTCAACCTTGCATTGCCTCAGTGATGATCAAATTTGGTCAAGGGTGGTGAAGGAATGGTATATCCTGCTCCATCACTCATGTTTTCAAGTCTGTGTGATGTTGGATGTGGTTGATATAGCCATTCACATGGTTCCATCATTGCCTCTCAAAGTGTGGATATAAGTGGCAGAGCTACTGGAACTGCATCCTCAGTATGTATGATGTCGTAGATAGAGTCCTTGTCAGACGTGGTGTTCTGCTGGACACTGACTCCCAGAGATGTTGTCATATGTACAGCCTGCTCAGAAAAATGTCCCAGATTTTCACCCGACAACCCAGGACCCTGGTTTGAAATGATGTTGTCTGGAGATGTTGAGATGGTCTCTTTGGTATTGATGGTTGAATCAGATTTGTATGGTACACTGGAGAAAGAAGAACATGCTGGAGAGTCATGTTGTGGAAGAGGATTGGTTTCAGCAGCTTGAGAGGTAGATGGAGCCTCGTATGTATCCATCTCTCTGGCCTGGGGACCAGTAGGTATTGGTAGCATGGCATGTAGCCCCATCCATACCTAGTAACATAGTAAGGGTATGGAGGCATCATCCAGTATGAATCTTGGAATGTTTGGTTGGAAAGCATGTAGAGTGTTGGGTCGAAGCAGGCAAGACATTGACTGCTGGCAGCTCATATGGGCACAGTGTTGGTGGTTGTTGAACTTGTGGCCCTGTAGCCAAATCTGAGAGGGCTTGTGCAGGCAACTTGAAGTCAAAGAACAGGCAGGAGAATCTCTTATTTTTCCTTCTGAAATGGAGGTTGGAAGTGGCGGCTCCATGAGGGACCTCAATGAATGGTGAAGATCTTGGGATCAATCAGATCTGTGGAAACAGTCTAATGGGAGAGGTGTGCCAAAGACAGGTGTTCAGGGCTTTCCATCGGTACAGATGGAATGGTTGTTACCATTGTCTTCATTTGTTCGGCCAAGCAGGAAGAATGGTGTTTGGTGTGGGAACAGTATTTCTTCTTTTTCTCTGGCTTATCCTTATTGGAGTGCTTTTCTTAACAAGCCTCTTTCGTTTCAATGTATTTTCGTTTCTCCTTACATTTTTTAGGCGTTTGAGATGTTCCAGGAGTTTTTGTCAATCCCAAGGTTTTAGCGACTCCCTCAGTCGGTATGGATTCGTGTTCAGGGGTGCCTTCCTGAGAAGTAAAAAAAGCGGCTGATTTTCCCACTGAGGCTTCTCTCTATCCCAGACCTCTTTTCTCAGATGGCTCTCCTGGTTTTTATGCACCTGCTTCATAAAAGCCTGAAATTTGTCTGCTTTGTGGCCCCTCTCCAAGGCAGAGTAGAGCGAGTGGGTATCCATGGAAGGTGTCTTTGCCACACACTGAGTGCACTTTCTAAAACCAGAGCACTACACCATCAAGGAGAAAAAGAAAAACTGGAAGCAGTAGAGTTTAGGAGGTAAGTTTTAGATGATAGGAAAGGTTTTTTTAAAGGGAATATTTCTGTGGGGAAGTGCGGAGAATAAGCGGGAAAATGAAACTGGTCAGGAAAGGGGTATTTGGGGATAGTGGGGTTTAAGTACAAGAACGAGGATAAAAGAGTTTTAAGATTGAGTTAAAATATTTGTGAGAAGAAGCAGTGAGAGAAACCGGAGGCACAGCGAACAGCGGTTGAAAGAAGACTGGCGAGAGGGCTGGAACTCTGCCTATTATACTGGGGCAGGGGGCGTTTTTCCTGCCAAAATGATTAATGCTGAGAGAACCTTCCTGAACAGGCACTGTGCAGGTGCAGCATCCATATGTGTGATGCACAGAGATCACGATGAAGAACAGTAGTAACAGAGTACGAATCTACAAAGCAATTGTTTATCCTAAGGATGAAAGATGGTTGGCTTCAAGTCTGATTTGCTCATTTGGTGTCAAATTCCAGTGCATCTTAAAGTTGTTGAGTTCATTCCTTTATTGCTTTTGCTCCCACATCATCCCAATAGACTTTCAAAATAGTGAGAGAACATCATGGAAAATAACTTAAGGTTACAATCCTGAGACCAATCACAGTGAAAGCAATGCAATTTAGGTATGGATACTTGGATTGTCACTTGGGTCACTGCATCATGCACATATTCCTCCAAATCTTTCCTCTCTTCAGGGTAACTCCAGGGATGCGCTGGAACTCACATTTGCCTGGATCTCCAATTAACCAACATTTGAAACTGCAGTTTAATATTAGTTACAAATCCTGTTAAACAGGAAAATGTTGTAAGTTTCAATGTGTCCCCTAATTTAGATGGGAGTATATAATTTATTCTAGAATTGAGAAGCTGTGAGTGCTATAGCCTCCGATTTTTTCACTGCAGTTAAGAAAGAACTAAGTGTCATACTTGCTCTAGCCCAAACAGAAGAAAGTTATTCTCATAGCTAACTTTCCAAAGATTATTTGTTTCAAGGGTTACATGATGTTCATGAGCAATTGGTTCTTAAAGTCTTAAATTTTTAAAAAGAGTGATGGCAAATACTGTTTATTTATCTTATGTAATAATATAAATGGTCTGCTATTTAATTTATATTTCAAAGTGTGAATTAGTGATGTGCTTTATATGTATGCCATGACAACTGAAACTTTACCTGCAATTTATATTATAGCCATTATCAGAGCCATAATCTTTGCGAACTTTGGAGGATTCTGGGAAGTGCTCACATGAAAGAAAAGGATGACCTCTGAAAGAATAAAGCAAACTTATTAAAACAGTGTAAAGTTAGAACAGTGTAAAGCAGCAACAACTAGGTGCAAATAATGGATTGGATCCAGAGTTGCCCCTCTGCAAATGAAAGGCCTCTTTCTGTAAGTGACAGGAATGTATATCCAGTGGAAGAATGCAACAGGTTGATGGCTTTTCCCTGATTCCGCCTTTCCCTGCAGCTTCCAGTCCCAGGTTGCACACTGTTCTGGAGGTTCTTTCCAATAATTAGTAAAAACTGCCTCCTACCTATCCACCTGCAGGATCATCCAATGTAGAATTATATAAAACAATAGGCATAATGTAAAATAAAGTTTGAAATATGAAAATGGTGTGGTCTAAATTTTAATTGTTTTTTTCAAAACTGCATAGAACCAAAGAATAACAGTGTTTGTCATATGTTAATCATTATCAACTATGTACCACTGTTTTCAGCTTTATAAATATCAGAAATTGTCAAAATTATAACTTGCTAATATGAGTGAATTTACAGAAATTAATGGCAGGCAGGAATATAAAAATGGTGTAGCCAGGAGAACAGGCTTTTACACCTCAAACAAGAGGAATCTGTCAGAAAATAAAAGGGAATGAATCCTCCCCCAACCACTTCACATGCTACTTCAGTTGTGTCCATCAATGGCACAGTATACATAGAATGAGAAGCTACCAAAGGTGAATTTCCTGTGGGGCTTCTTGTCACAGCAACAGCTACCAAGAGTCCTGTGTGACTTTCAACCGCTAAAATGTCATTTCCACTGTATGCATATGTGACAAGAAACTACGAAGTGTCCCTGCAGCTTCCCTAATTTTCAGAATGGCTACCATGATGAGAAGACTCATAGGGAAATTCACTCACAGTAGTTTCCCTGTATGTGTGAATCAGGTCAATAACTACTCTTGAGGGAAAATAATATTAAAAAAGAAAGAAAGATGAGCATGGTAGGCATATGGTCAGCGCTAGTAATTCATCTCACCTTTCTAAATAGCCTTCATGTGGCACGTTATCATTGGTTAAATGGTCATTAAAAGCCATGATCCTTTGTTTAGGTACCCTGTTTAGAAAATCGTTCAATTCAGGCTGCTCATTGAAATCACTGTAAGACTGATGGTCCTGAAAAGATCTACATCTTGATTCAGAATCTCTGTCATCAAAATCTTCTAGTGGCATGTCTCTTTGTGACTCACTATGATGCGGGTGATCAAGCATTCTTTGTCCATGTCCCCTACTAACAAACTCAAAATCTCCCATGGGGGGTTGCATATTTTCATGAGTGGGAGAGTCTTGAAATGGTCTCATCTGTTGCACAGGTCTCTTGTTGAGGTAAGCCAGATCTTTTAACTGCATATGTGGTTGAAATTCATCATTAGACTTCTGGTCATAAAATGGTCTTCGCCTTTGTCCATGGCCTCTGTTAACCTGAGAATCTGTTAACATATCGCTGTGAGGAAGGATAGCAGGAAAATTTCGCTGTCTCTGTCCACGCCCCATATTAATGATCTCTTCTGATGGTGCACTTTCTGGAATGTCCTCACAAAGCTGCCGATCCTGGAAAGGTCTTAGCCTCTCGCCTGATGTCCTTGGGGCAAAATCTAAATCCTTCCACTGCATTTCCTCTTGGTAGCCATTGTAAAATGGGTGGCTGGGAAAATGCCTTTGCCTCATTGATATTAATGGTTGCAAATCATCTTGAAACTCATGATCATGATATGGTCTGCGCGGATGTCCAGGACCCTTATTAATAAAATCAAACTCTCTCAATCGGATTTGTTCTGGGAAGTCACTGTGGTCACTGTCATAAACTCGTAATCTTTTTCCAGGCCTGTTAAAAAATGCAAAGGGTTCACTTTCTAAGAGTAGCAAGTGCCAAAATTCTCTGACAAAAATGAAGCATCAAGAAACAATTGATATTTTAAAAACATTTTAAAGCTGAAATTCTTCGTAAGCACTAACCTATCCCCACTAAATACAGCAAAACACACACACACACACACACACACCTGGCTAGAATTAATATGGCTTTTAGCATTTGTTCAGAATTCTAAAACATAATTCTTATTTAGGCATGTAGGCTCCAATCAACCCATATTAAGCTAACCCATGGGTTGGTTAGAATAACCCATGGTGTACTTGACAGATGACTGGGCTCACTGTGAGTTGTTCTCCCACTCCTTTTGATCTCCCAGCAGGTATCCAGTGTCCTTTATGGCAAAACCTGACTTGGCTCTCTGTCCCCACTCCACCTTTTTAGTTTTTTTTTTCCTTTTTGAGCCTCAGAAATACTTCATATTTTGAGGTTTTCTAATATTCCTAAAAAATTGCACAGTTGTATTTGTAATTTTATTTGGGGTGGGAGGCAGTCTTTCTTATGTGCAGAAATGCATACTTATCACTTTGTGATATTTATAGTCTTACCAGGTTTATGTTTTTACCTGTTTTAGTTGTTAATGTGAGCAGCAAAGTGCAGGAGGCTGGGAGAGCTGGCAAAAAAAAAAATTTTTTTTGACTGGGAAATATACAGAAATTTCAAGATTTGGGATATATGTAGGGCTGCAATGAGGAGAAGGGGAAGGAAACTCCCACTGAGCAAGAGGAAATCCTTTACCATAATGGAGAATTCAGCTCTGAAAATGGAACTATACAGATTTAACTGCTCTAACAAACATTTTTCTTCCTACCACTTTTAATTTAAGATAAGTTACCTAGAAAATTCTTCATTTGGTAATCTATCAATATGTCCATCTATATCATTTGCTGGTGACACAGTATCTCCATCAGCGTCCCACAAATTCATTCCCAGATTGCTAGAATAAGTCAAAAGAGAATATAACAAATTGTATTTGCTGAAATTACTGTTACAAAAAGGCAAAATCATATAACAGCACTAATTCCAGTAAAGAAAGATTGGTTGCCAACTCTATTTATAGGTTAATTCGGTTTTACACTACTTCTAGATAGCTAGTCCTTGGGATAATATTTGTGCTTTTGTGAACAACTGATAGGTGTGCTTTGTCTTGGATATCCAAAATCTGTATCAGGACTTACTAACTGCTTACAGGTTAAACACAATGTGTATTTGGTCAAAGCAACAAGTGACCAAAGCAACAAACTGGATATTTTTTACACCCATCCGATCCAAAGTCTAGTGGGGCACTGATTTCATATAAAACATGTAACAATGGAAATGGAATATACTAGTATCATTTCACAAACTTAAATTCCACCAATGGAAGTCTGCTGAATCTTTGCATTACATGAGCAGTTGTGCAATATACTTATGAAATGGACTGCACTATGCAGTGTGCAATGGGCATGCAAATGTAATGTGCATCTGATTGTACAACCTATTATGCAAGGAGGTACACAATAGTAATACTAGTTGTGCATCAGTGCTTGTGCAAAAGTAATTTCATCTGGATTCTCCTCCTCCACTTAGTTCAGAACTTAGTGTCCGCTAATGCAACATCATCTGCGTTAACAGAATGACAAACCGGATATTGTACAATACAAAAATGGGTCTTCACTTACCTTCTCATTGGTTGAGTTTTGAGATCTGTCAGATATATATTACCATCCATATGGTGACCACGAGCCTCCCCAAAAGCTAAACAGATTGTAAGAATATTAGCTGTATGGAAGGTTATATTGTGAAAAATGCTATTGATGAGGCTTCAAGTATAGTAGGTCTTGGCTTTTTAAAGAAAAATTCTAGCATCACATTCCTTCTGATACTGGCAGAGTATCATTGGGCAACAGTAACAATAGCTGGAGGCATATCACTGGGCAAGTATAACTGCAGAAGGACAGTGCTGATGTAACAGCAGCTTCTTTTTGACTACTGTTGCCAATTCAAGAGGTTTCTTATCACTGAGGTAACTTCTTGTGTTCACAAAAAGAAAGTAGTTCAGCAAGACCAATCAAATGTTTTAATAATAATAATAACAATAACAATAACAATAATTACAGTTTAGATTAACCAGGCTTCTTGTTTAGGTGTAATATGAACATGCAGAAGAGGTGGAGGGCAGTGTGAACCTGGAACTGAAAAGATGACAATGCTGGCATGAGGCAGGCCTCAGTAGGGAGATCATGCCATAATTGGGGGCCTCTAAAAGAGGCCTCTACCTTGTTGCCATCCTACAAGCCTCCCTTGAAGGTGACACTCAGAGGAAGGCTTCAGATGTAAACTGTAGGTTCAAGTCAGGAGAGGCATTCTGTGAGGTATTGGAGTCCCAAGCAGTGTAGAGCTTTAATACATTAAAACTGTCACCATGATTTGGGCTTGGGTGAAGACAGGTTGCCCATGCAAGCAGAACAGCATTGGTGTTATATGTTGGACTTTATGGCCTCAGTTATTAATCTGACTGCCACATTTTATATAAACTGCAGCTTTTTTCAAGGGAAGTCCCATGCAGAATGTATTGCACTGGTCTATGAGTTTCAGTCATGTTATTCTTGTCCACAAAGGGACATAGCTGGTTCACAAGGTGCAGCTGATAGAATAAACTCTGTGCCACTGAGGTCATCTGAGTCTCTTATACAAAAAGAGCCTGGAAGCTTAAACATTCAAATTAATTATACTTCCCAGCTATACCTGTACTTAGGAATTATAGGTTTGCTCTAACTGTAATTAGTTTTTTTAAAAAACTAGGATCGAACATGAGATATGGTTGTTTTTCACTAACTGCAGCCAGAAGAAAACTCAGGTTGCTTACCTGAAACTGTGGTTCTTTGGGTGGTCATCTGTGCATGGGCTCTGTGCCTTCATGGAGCCTGTTGCTGGGAAGATTATACAGCTGAGCATTAGTTTGGGTGGGAGCCCTCCCCTTCCTGTTCCCTGCATCCATGGGAAGGGCTCCCACCCATTCCCTCAGTTCTGTTGAGACTACCTATAGGTCCCAAGGCTCAGGGAGGAACATTTGTATTGCCCTGGTCTGTGACCCCCACATTGGGGGGCAGGGAGTAGGCTGTTTTCAGTTTTACCCCCAATGGGGCCAATGGACAGGTTGCATGACTGCACAAATGACCACTTGAAGAACAAAAGTTACAGGTAAGCAACCTGACTTTCTTCTTTTTGGGCTCTGTGCATCACGCATATGGGCAACTAGTGGTTTGGTGGGCTCTGAAGAGTCCAATTCCACATAGTCCATCGGATCTGATGACTTGGAGGACAGAGAGGGTGACTGGAGATGGACTTCCATAGGCAGTTGGGTCCCAGAGACAACTGGCCTTTGGTCATCCAGAAGGAGGTGGCTCAGAGGTGACCACTGCTGCGGCTCATATTTAGGTGGTGCTGGCCAGTCATATCATTGCAGACTGATTGCAGGGTCATGCTGATATCTGTGATAGAAGTGGGTTGCAGGTGGATACTAATAAGGATGTACCCAATATCACTTTAGCCATGGAGACCGACCAATGAGATGAGGCCAGAGATGGATGTGCGGATAAGGATCCATAGTATAGTAATGGTGTGTGAGGTATCAGATCCAGTGTATCTTCTTGTTGAGCTGAAGACATCGGTGGTGATCAGACTGGAGAGTCCCTGATTTCTCTATCCTGAAAAAGAAGACAGAGCTGCAGGATCAGGCTGGACCTCTTGCTCCAAAGGCACTGGTGTTGGGGACCAATGAATTGGAGACCCTTGGAATGGTGGCCCTCTTGTTTTGGAGGGACATCTTGAAGAAGTCTCCTTAGACATCCTTAGAAGTCTCCTAAGGAAAAGCTCCTTAGGTCTGTGCTTTTCCACACTGTTAGGAGAACAAGTGGACCATTTAGAGTGCTTCTTCGGTCTTTTAGCCTTCTTAACCATTCCAGCACTTTTGGATTTGAGGTGCTTTTCTCTTTCTTCTTAGGCACCTCCGAGTCAATGGGAGGTGCAGAATGGGAGGCAATCCGCTTGGTTTTAGTTGAACTGCTGGCCGCTGGTCACTTTTTAGGGACCTCCTTTGGGGCTGATTATTCTTTATCTGTCTCACACATGACTCCCAGTGAGGAGTCCAACATGTGGAGTCTCCTGGCACTATTGCTATGAACCTGTTTGGTGAACACCTGGCAATGCTGGCATTTATCAATTCTGTGCTCCTTGCCTAGACAGAACAGGCGCAAGGAGTGGCTGTCACAGGACGACATTTTCACTCCGCATTTGGCACACTTCTGAAAAGCTGGTTTACTTGGAGACATCAGGTTAGCAGAAAGGATAAAGATGGTAGAAGGTTTTTTGTTTTTTGAGGGATGAGAGACGGGAGGGAGGTGGGGTAAGAGACTAGGAAATAAGTGAAGAATAAGTAATAGAATTTCATGAATAAATAATAAAGATGAAGATTTTGAGGGAAAATCAGTCAGAAATGAGCTCTAAGGCACAAGAAATGCAACAAACAGGAGAACACTAGAGGGACCAATGCATTGTGCAAATGCCGGTCAAAAGCAAACTGATGAAATTGTGGGAGCCTGTCTTTTATATGGGGAGGGAGGGGATGGGGCTCCCATGTAAAGTTCTAGGCTAAGGTAGAGAATCTTCCTGGATAAGGCACTGGGCAGGCGCAACACCCATATGTGTGATGAACAGAGACCATGATGAAGAACCAGATGTGACGTCCGAGAACCACTGCACTGATGAGCATCCTGGAATCACAGTCCACATGATGTCTTGTCATTGCCAGTTGTTGCTTGGATAGTTGCATGGCTTCTCCAATGAAGACCCTCACCAAATCTCATTTGTCTGATAGAAATGTGGTGAGGGATTCCATTTTCTCCCAGAGGAAGTATTGGTAATGAGCCATGGTGGCCTCATAATTTGAGATTTGCAGTCCAAGTCTCATTGCTGAGTATATTTGGTGAGACATCATGTCAATTTTTCTCCTTTCTTAATCAGCTGGTGCAGTGTGTTTTTGGTTCTGACAACCCTGTGCAGATTCAATGACCACCGAAGTAGTATTATGGAAAAGGTAATGGATGCTGGAAAATACTCAAGTTGAGAAGAGAAGGACTTCCGGTTCTAGCCAGAGGCAGATGAAAAGAAACTGAGGGAATGGGCAGGACCTTCTCCCTTGGATGGAGGGAACAGGGAGGGGAGGGGCTCCCACCCAAACTAACACTTAGCTGGAGAAACTTTCCAACAACAGGCACAAGTGCAGAGCCCATATGTGTGATGCACAGAGACCACAAAGAAGAAGCAGAAGCTTTTGATTCTGTCCTTGCGTGCACAGATAAGAGATGAGGGTGAGCCAACATTTTTACAAGCACCTTCTAGTAATAGCCATAGCTTGTTGAATAGACCATTATCTTTCAGAGAAATACATTACTTTTTCACTCACAAGAATTATCCATTTGGATAAGCATTCTCATATGAACTAGTACAGCTCAGATTTCATTCTTGGGACAATGGTCTCTAATATCTCAATAAATATATATTGTGGACAAAGATAATGGAAGTTGTATCTGACAGCACATGCTAGGTATTCAGGTAAATGGACACGTACATGTAAAAATAATGCAGATATTGTCAGGACTGGTTCACTGTGGACCAGTTCCCTTTCCCCCCAACCATACAGAAGAGGAAAGCATTTTTGTACATATATGGGAAGGTTGATCATTTCCACTTTTAGCTTCCTGCTGTTTCCCACTTCTGAAAGCAACTTTTTGGATGGCATGAGACTAAAGTGGGAAACAAGGCAGGAAAAGTGGTATGGGCATGGGTGGTATTCTTGGAGGGGTCCTTTTGGATCCCAGCTATAGCAACCAATGCAACTAGGTAGTGTATGCAGAATTTTGGATTTTGTTCAAACAGCACAGATACCTTGGATTGCTGTTTCAGGATCCCAGCCTTCAACATCAATAAGGTATCTAAAAGAATATAAACATATGTGAATAACTTAATCAGAACTTATCACTGTAGTAAAAATAGTAAGTGCAGAGTAATTTAATATCTGCTAAAATACTTACCGACATATAAGGTAACCTGTTCTATTAATTCCATTAGTACAGTGTACTCCAATGAGCTTGTCTAAATAAAAAGCAAAAAGAAAATGCTTTTAAAAAGCAAATTGACTTCAAAAGCACTGCAGCTGAATAAAGTATTGGTACAAATGTGCACCTTTGAAACTTTGATTCTGGATACATTCTCCATGGAATGCGCTCTTTAGAGAGATCTGGCTGGCACCGTCATTATATGCTTTTTGGTGCCAGGTCAAGACCTTTATTCACCCAATATTTTAATGTTAATAGATTTTAATTATAATTAATGATTTTAATCTATGTAATTTATTTTAATAATTATTTTATTTATTTCAGTTGTGGGATATCTAGTTTATTATTGTTTGGGGTATTTATAGATTCACTATGAGCCATCCAGAGACAAAAGTGATTGGATGGGCTAGAAATATCCCAAATAAAATAAATATCCCAAATAAATAAATTTAGTAATCTACAAATTCAGCAGAAGGCTGTATGCTCTTTGCTGCACTGTCAAAACCCCATTAAAATGTATCAAAACTGCCAAAACAAGGATTGACCACTAGTTTGATGGTGGGAGACATAGAAGGCTGCCTGGTCAAAGTCTTCAGCCACCCTCCTTCTCTTTTGCTTATCCTCAGAGCAAACAGCAGAGAGGATATCTTAGTTGATCTGCCCGCAGTATAATATGCATTTCAAGTACAGGCCTGATTGGGCTTCTTTCCCCCAGATGATCTGTGCTACGTAAAAACCTGTTTCTATATGTGAACTGACTTCTTTAGGACAAAAACGTGGGTGTAAAATTTCACTGGGTGGGATTCAAAGAAGCACACCAATAGTTCTCGAAGGGGCTTTGAATTTCTTGAATAACAGTCTCCTCATGCTGTATGGAAACTCTGTTTGGAACTGGGTCAAACCACACAATACATTAATTATGTGAGTATTTAACATGTTGAATTTTTCTGTTTTATTAGCAACTGCATAGAGGTCACCCAATTGGGATTGGAACCACAGGATGAGAGAATTATTAACCCTTGCCTGCCAAATTCCACTCCCAATGAAATCCTCCTGAGTTGCTATTTATGCTGGGAGGGAAACTGATACAGGCAACAATACCAGCTTCTTTTCAGGGAAGAATAAGGAAGTCATGGGGAAGATTTTCAGCAGTGGAGCTTTAAACCCTCTTCCCTGGTTGTTGTGCTCCTGATAAGAATCTCTTTGCTATAGCTATTCTATATATGACAGTTATTGAACTATCACATAAACCATGCTTGCTGGGTTTGCATGATAATCCTCAAGTGGGTGCTGCAGATGTAATGTGGCATCCATGGGTGCTATGACTCACCATGGCTAAATACCTTGGCTCACGAACTTGATTTGTTCCATGACTCTGGTCATGATCCAAATTGGTTGTGAGCCAAGTCAAATTTCCCCACAAGGTTCAATGTAAATAAGGTTAATTCATTCTGTAAATATTTTTTTTAATCACAGGGAAGACATGCACGATTGCCGGCATGCTGGGTGGGGGAGACAGGCGCGATCCCTGTTGAAACCATCAGAAATAAAAATTAAAATGTTTTATTTTTGAATTACCAGAGAATGACCAAAGAGAGACTGTACCCCCTTCCCCCGCACAACACACATCCATCCTAGGAGGGCTGACAGAGTTTTGGATGATATGATAGATTGCTCCTTGATCTACTTAGTTTCCTATACCCATCTTGAACAAAATTAAATGCTGATAATCACCATTTTCTGCATTTTCCCAAAGGAACTTTCTGACCCATTTTTTGAATTGTAGAATAGTAGGATCATCTGGGACCTCAAGTCCAACAGTAAAAAGTTTCTTATACTCCATACTTTTAGGCAAATCCTAGCAATGAGAAGGTGAAAAAGTGGAAAAAATTAGTAATTCAAATTATTGTATATCTCTAAAATTGATACAATATTTTAAATACAGGTTCTGAGTAAAATTAAATGTGTAGGAATGAAAAGTTATGCTGTCAAATTAGTAATTATTCAAGTAAATAATTATTCCAACAGCTGTAGCATGACTCATACTTTTGAGAACCATTTTTTGGTACAGATCTATCTTCAAAATTAGAAAATTAATGATATTGCATTAACTCCACTCAGAGTTGTGTCAAGTTTCTTCCTTGCATCACTATTTTCTTTGTACAAGATTGAACAGGAATCTTTGTCTTTGAGATAACTTTGGAAAGAACTAAAAGGTTTTATATATGACATTACAGTAAGATTATCCAGGCCCAACATTTTGGGGGTCATAGAATCACCATGATAACTGAAAAATACACACAGTGCTGTCAGCTGAGAATCAGTGCTTCTTTTGGTTTGCAACATTTTGAGAATTTATTCAGATATTCCTTCATAATCTTTAAACGGTCTCTCGTTTTCTGATTTTGGTAGTTAAAAACAATGAATAGCAGGATCCTAGTATCAAACTGGGCAAATCATATCTTCTTGATCCACCACTGTGAGTCACTGTACTGCATGTTTCCCAGTCACAGCATAACCCATCAAAGTGAACCAGCTAGTGTGGCCAGGAGTCCACTTTCCTAAGGCATCAAGTATTTTAAGTTTGTAAGTATTCCACACTAGACAAAAATGTTGGCGATTGCTGCTCTTCTTTATTGATTGCATTTTGTATGGTCTTTCTGCTTTATAGACAAACATTCAGAAAAAAGGATAAACAAATGCAAATATAAGAAATTATACAACTTTAAAATTTTAAACCCTAAGTTAGAAAGATACATTTGATCCTCCTCCTGAACACATAGAAAGTGGGGACTAGTAACTCTAGAGGACTAGTGTTTTAGAATTTGGAAGCAGCACAGGAGAAAGCATGAGTGGGCCTCTGTAAATGAAGATGTCTTCAAAAGTGCTTCTCCTGCTGGTTTTAACAAGCAAGCAGGTTCATACTGACATGGTTGGTCCTTCAGATAGCTAGCCCCTAATCTATGTAGGGCTTACCATTAACATCTTGAACTGAGCTTGAAAAACAATTGGCAATCAGAGCAGGTCTTTCTGTAATGGAATGATGTGATCCTAATACTGTACACAGATTAGCAACCAATTGGAACAATCAAAGCATTTGCACACTATTCAGGAGCAACCCCATCTAGAGCATCTTGTGATGTAACATGGAAAAGTGTCGTCAGATCATATTCACTCAGGATCATCCACAGTTAGCATACTAGGTTGGGAGAATTCAAGAGTATGCCCAACCTACAAACCTGATCTTTCAGGGAAAGGTACCCAGATGCAAAGAGTGAGTTCCAGTCCTGAACCGAAGCTTTCTGTTGACAGTAATCCTGCTTATTCTGGATGTAATCTCAGTTTGTTCACCCTCATTCAGCCCATTATCAAATTTAAGCAAAATCCAAGCATTGCAACTGCTTCCTTACAGATAGGTAACACGGGTGAGTGTCATCAGCATATTCACAGCATCTTACTTGAAGTTCCCAAAGACTTCTCTAAGGAGTTTCATAAAGATGATGTTAAATAACACTGGGGACAGGGCACAACCCTGTGGGACACTACAGACTGACTGCTGTTGTACTGAACAGTACCCCACTGGAGTACCCCAAAGCCACTTTTCAGATATGATACTATAAGAAAAGAGGACTGCATACAGTACCTCCAAGGTTTGATGGTATCAAATGCTACCAAGGATTCTAAAGTCCTGTTGAAATGGTTAAAGGTAAACAATATCATTCAAATGGATCTGAAGTTGCAAGGCCAAGATCTTTTTACTTGACTAAGTATAGAATATTTGAGACTGCCCTGCAATTCTACAGATCTGTGGGGTCAAAGGAAGATTTTTTAATAGGTCTTATTGCTTCCTCCTTCAAGCAAATAGGAACATGCCCCACCTCCCAGAGATATTAAACATTTCCATTAGTCATCTAGCCAGTCCCATCCTGGCTGATTAAGAGCAAACAAACTGTAATTCTGCTTTTCCAAATACATTTGTCCATCTTGTAAAAAACATAATTAAGCAGCTAAAGGCAAAGTGCTACAGCAGGAACTGAGCTGTTTGCCCTAGAGAATGAATGGACTTCAAATATCTCTAGATAGGGAAGGAAGGAAGGGAAATTGCATAATTTACATTTTCTTTATAGGAACCATTTTTATTTCATACTGTTCAATAGCTGAAGCTCTGTGGGAGGTTATAACCATTCATAAAATTACAAAAGGATAAATGTAGATAATACAACATAAAATTCAATAAAATGTAAAACAATTTAAACAGTTTCAATAATACTACCAGAAATGTTAGAAAGACAGCTGACATAATACCATGAGATACCATGAAATGCTTGGGAGTAGAGGGCGGTACTTAAAAAGAAATGACTGCTTTTCTGGGCAACCTATGGGGGTGGCCATTACCTTTTCTGGACAACTGTCCTTGTAAAGAGTTGAAAATATTGTCTTCCTCCTCTTTATTCAGTGGCATTTGAATTTTCAATTTGTGCCACATGACAGGAAGTTCAGCTGCTACAGCATCTTGCCTTAGCTGCCTTAATTGTGTTTTAAAAAATGAAAGCCAGATCATCCACTCACCCAGCCATCTTGTAACTTTGATTCATTGTAAGAACCCCAGTCCCACCACCAGAAGAAAATCACATGTGGACCTTATTCATTATTAATTTAATTCTACTTGCAGGGGAGGTAATGATGTGGATGACTGAACTAAAAGGTGGCAATTTATTGAAGAGAAATTTATTTTGGAACTGAATCTAAATAATCTGGTGCTAAACTAATTAAATAACTGATTTGGGTGGCCTACATGGGATATAAATTAATCAAAGAATATTGAATGTTGATTTGAATGGGTATTCAATTGGTTTATCTTCTGTGAAATTTAAATGCTAAGTATTTATAGTTTACAATATACATAAAATCAACACTTGCAAATTCTATGCAAATTGCTACTCTTTTTTCAGTGATATGTACTGTCTATGATATGTATGATTTGCAATTTCTTCTGTGTCAAGTTTTAAATTGTAAGTTCCTTGCAAGCAGGGTTCCCTATTACACTCTGTAAAGCACCATGCACATTAATGACACTAAGCATAATTAATTCAAATCCTGGAAGAGCTCATCAAACTCTTTTAGTGTCAGAAACTGCACACCACTTGGACAATTTTGTGTCTGGCATTAAAAGCAAAGAGTGTAACTGGAAAAAATCTGAGATGATGCTGTTTAATTGCAACAGAGAAGAAAAGATGAAAATTAAGAATACATTTTAAATTAGAATATGTAGTATTATTAAATATTTAGACATCAATATTTCAAAAAATACTCAATGTCTAAAAAAGAACAATTTTGTTCTATTAAAATCTGAAATAAATAAGAAATTGCAGTGATTGAGGAAAATAGAATTATCTTGGTTTGGGCAAATAGCAGTTTGTATGATGAAAAATTTACCTAAGATTAATTTCTTATTTGGGATATTAGGGAAAGTGTTAGAAGATTGGCAAAAATAATTAATAAATTTTGTAATGGAGATAAGAAAGCAAGGATTTGTAAGTAAAGATGGTATAAATCACAAAAAGAAAGAGGACTAGGTATTCTGACTATTAGAGAAGATTTCCAAGATGGCAACTGAGCAACAGCCTTGTTGTTGAGCCCCCTTTGATACTTTATCAGTTTTATCAGTTATTTATTTTTATTATCCACCTAGTTATTCATTTTAACTTATCTAGTCAAGTTTTAAAACCAAGCCTCCTACAAGAGATACTGTATCTTGCACCTGTAAGTTCCTGGAAATATTATACAAGCCCCTGTTGCAATGGTGAAGAACAAGAACAAGAAACACAGCAGGACTAACCCTGGCTTATCTGCTCTACCCAAGCCAACTAAACAACCTAAAACTGAAGATTACATGACACACAGGAAAACCTTACGTAATAATAACAAGACAAATCTCCTTCATTCTATTTCTGCTTCTAACAGCTACGAATCACTAAACTGGGACTTGGAATCAGAAATCGTGAAACAACAATTATTAGAGTTGTCCTCCACTCTGCATGAGGAGTCTATTCACTCAAACGAGCCTTTGCTTACATTACCCTCTCCTGATACATCTTTGGGACATGAAGAGCAAAGCAATCAACCAATCAAGGAATTTACAATAGGCCTTCCTGCCAAACAATGTCTATTAACTTCCCAGACTGTGATTTCAATCTTCAAACAGTTAACTCTAATAAATACAGAAGTTAATTCTTTAAAAACAGCTTTTGAAACCTTTGTGCAAGACGTTGCAGACAAGTTGGCAGCTTCTGAAACAGCCTTTAATTTTGGCACCAATTCGGACCTGTCCACAGTTAGTCAAAGGAAGCAAAACTGTTTAGAAGAGCTTGCTAAGACCAGAAAGGATACACGATCGGAGGCAGTGTGTGCAGCTCTACCTTCTGCCAAAGAGTTAAGTTCAAATATGTGCAACTGTGTTCTTCAAATACTAAGAATTACACCCAACGTATTTAATATTGGACGCTGGTCCACCAGAAGAGCTATTATTCTATCTCTTAGCCCACTTCTCCGATGCCAATGTTACATGATTGATTTAAGTGCTGTTGAATGGCTCCCTAGTATAGGAGATCACAAACGTATTTTGTTGTCTTTTAACCATTCTACTATTCCCGGTATGGTGTTCAAAATGAAACTATTCAAATATACCCACTGCAATGAAAAAAGAAACGTCCTTTCTGGCATATCTTCCCAAGCAGACACTCCCCAGCCTTACGCCACGGGTAAGGAGCCAAATGATAAAAGCCATAGTAACTCAGCACCTTCAGGGACCTTGACAAGACTTTGTCGGAATAATCATGCTGAACTTACATGAGAAAGATGTGGCACTGATGATGCCTTGGAATCAGGTCTAATTACCTCCTTCGAAGCTCTACCAAATAAAGAGCAAGATGAGAGATGGTTGAACGAACTGAAACAAACACTGCTGCTGACCTGAGCAGCAGCAAAGCCTTTATTTGATCTAGTATCTTCAGACTATCAACTTGGCATTAACCCTGAAGAAAATCAATACAAACCTTCCAAATTGTCTAACCAAACATCCCTGTTAGAAAACAACTCAAAGTCACCTGGCCTGTCTTCATCATCTGAGAATTGCCCTGACACTACTTCACTTCCGACTCCTCTTATTCCATTGAGGGCAAATATAAGACACTCAGAAGTCACTTCCTCAACTTCTACTCAAGGGAAGGCAGGATGGAACACACCTGTCCTCACTCCTGCAGCCAATGTCGGAGTGGTGTAAGGTCCCCCAAAGTATGGTTCCTCTTTTAGGGTCACTGTTGAGATCCAAAATAAGATACCAAACACAGATTGACAACTTGAGTTCCTTCCTTGGGACCTGGGGGGTTGGCACAATAAGCTTTATGACTCCAATTTTATAACATTCATCCATGGCTTTGATATATTATGCCTTTAAGAAATATGGCTCATGAGCCCCGACTCTTTGGATATTCAGGGGTTCAGGACTTATTTTGTCCCTGCAATCAAAACTAATTTAAAGGGTCAAGGAAGTGGAGGCTTGGCTACATCTGTATTAGTGGACCTAAACATTGACATCCAGGTTGTAGAGAATAATTGCCCCAGTAATGTACAGACCCTATTCCTTAAAGGTGATTATTTTAGAAGTTTACTATGTGTAAACGTCTACATTCTACATAAGAGTTCACCTTTTTCAAGTAGGGGCTGTATCTGGGACATGTTAACTGATATGTTGGACTCACTAATATCTTGTTTCCTGTATGTACATGATATTCTATGTGGGGATTTTAAATCAAGAATAGGAGCGTGCATCTTTGAGGAAGGAAATGACCTGAATGCTCAGCGCGCTAGGCATATTCAGTTTCTAGACTGATCTTCAAAGAATTCAGTAGTAAACAAGTATGGGTTAAATTTCTTGGAGCTCCTTTCGGTGTCTAATCTCCATGTAAACCATGGCACCTCTTTTGATCTAATTGGTGGGACCTATACTTATCTTGGGACTGGCAGGGCCAATACAGTAGATTATATAGCCATTACTTCTGCCTTAATGAATCTGGTGGCTAAGTTCAAAGTTTTAGACCTTACTTTGAGTGATCACCGCCCACAACACTTGTCCCTTAAAGTTAATTCTAATGTCATGATGAAACTGTTTACAAATTTTGAAAAGGATTTAATTCCTAATTTCAGGACACATAAATGGTCTAACAGAATACACTCTATTTTAGCTGATACTCTGTCAGGCCAAGAATTGAGCTGCTTGAGAGACTCTCCTGCAACACAATTCCAATGTTATGCAAATCTTCAATGAGATTAACAACCATCTCAAACCTCTTGTTATGAACAATGGGCCAAAAAAATGGATAGTTCACACTCAAAATGGCTGGTTCGATCATGACTGTAAAATCTTAAAAAAAAAAAAAAAAAAAAGAACTGCTATGACACATGAGACAAGTCAGGTGCAGTAGGGAAGGAGGAATGTCTAATCTTTTATTACTTAGGCCCCAGTATAAAAACTTAATTAAGCATAAGAACATGGAACATGCTAAGTTTCTTTTGCAAGAGCTAGACCAAGCAGTCTCTGAAAAAAATGATTCATGTTTTTGGGAACTGTTTACTAACCATAAGAATAGTCCTTATTGCCAGGTTGATTCATACATACCAGGCAATGTTTGGTTTTCTTATTTCAGTACTGTTTTTGGGTCTCAACAGCCACAGGGAAGCATTTTCCTTACCCATGGAGACACTGGAATGGTTGCCAGTTTCAGTTGCTGAAATCAGAGGTCTAATCACCTCTCTGAAATCCGGCAAATCCCCTGGAGAGGACATGATTCCACCTGATTTATTTAAAGCCTTCCCAGAAAGGTGGGCTCCAATTCTGGCCAGAATGTTCTCTTTGGTTAATGAAACAGATCCTGCTCGGCTGGAAGGTAAGCATCATAGTGCCTATCCATAAAAAGGGGGATAGAACAGACCCACAAAATTATAGACTCAATGTTCCAGCAAAACTTTATATTAAATACCTGCTGTTAAAATTGGAAGATTGGGTGGATATAGAGCATATTCTACACCCAGTACAAGCAGGTGTTTGGAAAGGCCTTGGAGCCATTGGCCACAGCCAAACTTTGTATCAACTGGCCCACTTTGGTATTAATGGGCACAGAAATGGGTACTGCCAGGTTGTTTGTTGACCTGGCAGTAGCATTACTACTAGGTATTACTACCACTCTATACGACTCTGGTATGCCCACAACTGGAGTATTGTGTTCAGTTTTGGGTCCCTTGTTACAGGAAGGATATAGCCAGGTCAGAGTCAGTGCAGCATAGGGCCACAAGGTCGGAGGCCGGTTTACAAGGGAAGCTGATGAGGCGAGACTGAGGGAAATGGGCCTCTTCAGCCTGAAGAAGAGGAAACTCAGAGGGGATCTGTTGGGGACATACATGTATGTGAGGGGGTGTCACACGAAGGTGAGTTGAGACCTGTTCTCCTCTGCAGAGGAAGGCAGGACGCGGTCCAACGGAGCAAAGTTCAAGGAACCAAGGTTCAATTTAGATGCCAGGAAGTACTTCCTGACAGTTAGGACCCCGAGGGTATGGAATGGGCTACCATGGTAGGTGGCTGAGGCCCCATTGGTGAGGGTGTTCAAGGATAGGCTAGACCTGTACATAGTGGGCATGTCGTGAGTGGAGCCAGCTTGAGCCGGAGGTCAGACTAGATGGCCCAGGAGACCGCTTCTGACTCGCTCTGCTTCTATGTTTCTATTTGACTCCATCAATAGATCATGCCTATGGGCAAAGCTCGCTGCAATGAACATAGATAAAAGACTTCTTTTTCTGCTCTCAAAGATCCATTGAGACACAGTTACACAAATCAGGGTAGAAACCTCTGGCTCCCTAACAAAAGAAATTCCTATTAGAAAAGGTGTGAAGCAGGGTGTGTGCTGGCCCCTGTACTATTCAATTTTTATATAAGTAATATTATAGAGAGCTGATCAGGACCACAATTTACACCCCCATCACTGGGTCAGCTAAAAGCT